TCCCTGGGGATGGGCAGGCTAGCTCTCCGAGGCCGTGTGGCACACAGAGTTCTGATCGGCACAAAATCTCTTCAGAGGTGGCGCACCGGAGTCCTCCTCCTCTTCAGTTACCTGCAAGAGCCAGAGGCAGAGGTCATGGGTGGCGACAGGAGCTCAGCATGCCCACCAAGCCACGTGGACCTGGACAAGGTTGTGTCACACTGTGAGGACGGTCTGGGCTGAGGAAACCCCAGGGCAGTGGGCATAGGTACCCGCTTCAGCCCTGCAGTCAGCTAGAGTCCTTATTTTACTCCACCTCTTCATCCTTTCTCCACGCTTTAACACCTGAACTGAACCAGGGGACAGCTCGGGAAGCCGGGAGATCAGGGGAGCTCCTGGAGGGCACTTTGGGACTGCAGAGCAAGTCCATCTGCCGAGATGACTCTGCTACCAGAGGCAGCAACAAGGGTGAAAGTGCCAAGCGGGGTCTACGCTCATTTAACTGTGGTTTCAATCCCCCTTCCCTTACCTGAGTCTCAAGGGGGACTGGCTCTTCCTTTGTGAGAGTGGGAGGCTCGTCTGCAACTTCCGAGGAAGGCAGGGAGGGCTCTAGGGAGAACAGAAGGGTTAACGAAACTGCTGACCCAGGTGCACAGCAGTGCACAGCTCCGTGCTGAGCCAGGAGGGGAGACCTCCAGAAGACAGAAGCCCTCACTGCCCTGTTCACTTCCAGCATTGCCTCTGTCACCCACTGGGTGAATGACGGCTCCAGCAGGGCCTTCCCCCAGCCCAGCTGTCCACCTCTTCCCTTCCCAGCCCAGCACCCACCTTCCAGTGTCTCCTGCCCCAGTGTAGGTGGCTGCGAGTCGTCCGTGCGGAAGTCGGACGTGTGGGCAGGACTCATGGACTCACTCTGCTGGGGACTGGGGCTGGAGTTGGGGCTGCTGTCCACCTTGAGCTGGTAAACGTCCGACAGGGAGCTCTGGTTGCTGTTCTCATCTGCAGAAACAGCACCTAGTGAAGAAGAGCACCTTGACCCAGGGGCACAGGCAGCCAAGGGTGGCACCGAGAGCTGGGGTCTTAGGGAGAAGGAAGAGCACAGTCAGAGGCAGTTGGAGCACAGGGGATTCACTGTCACCCATCAACATAAGTGCTGCTGTGCACAGGACTCTTCACCGCGACACGGCTGGCATTAGATACACAACCGTCCACGTGAGAGGAGGTGCTTCTGCCTGGGGACTGAGTCCGAGCAGACAGAGCACGACCCTGGGCTATTCAGAAAGAACAAGAAGGCACCGGGGCGATACAAATCCTGCACTGCCAAATCTCATGCCTGCAGCTTGCGAGGTCCCCAGAGTTTTGTACCTCTTGTCTTTGCGAAGCAGCAGTCTAACACCAGGAGCAATGCTCAGCACCTGCCTCCAGGTGGGGAGGCAATCCTGGCACACATCTTTTCCAGGTAAAGCAGTCCCACACTGCAGACCTGCAATGCTAACCTCCTCACTGCATCTACTGGAAGTGCCAACACATTTCCCAATCTTCCTCTGCCGCGCCGAGCACCAAGCAGAGAGGCTGGGAACAGGCATACGCTCTGGTCCAGCAGTGAGTCCATGGGCTGCCTGAGCCTTGCTCAGCTCCACCACAGAGCCTGGCCTCCTCGTGGCTGGCTGCAGCACTCCAGGACCAAGAGCAAAGGAGATCCTCTGCCCTTTCATCTTAAGGTCCATGCAAGTCACTGCTGGAAGCAGCAGGCTCAGCTGCAGGCCTCTCCCCAGCAGGCACCGCAAAGTGGGAATGGGAACTCCCACTCCTCCAGTTCCCCTTTAAGCCTCACACAGGAAAATCCCAGAAGCAAACGATTACAATTCTTTCTGACAGCAAAAACGAACAGCTTCAGCAGGGACAGGCCAGAAGTGGATCAGCACAACCCTGCACTGAAGATTTGCGCGCTTTTGCCAGTACACGTGGCATACAAAAGCCAGTAATGTCCCAGCTTCTATAAGGCCTTCGAGTCTTTCCCCAGCTTGAAAGAGGCTCAGCCAGACTCACCTTGGAACTCAAGAAGGAGAGAGGAGTTGGCAGAGGTGTCAGCTGGGAAGCCATTGGGTTCTCGGGCAGCGCTGCTACTCGATTTGGATTTCTCTTTCTTCAGGAGAGAAAGAGAAACAGAAAGACAAGGTTAGAGGAGCTCATCACTGGCAGAGGATGCAGAGGTGCACAAACTGCTCCCTTCTCTCTCCCAGCAGCCCAGAAGGTTGTGCTGGTGCAGACCTTTCCCTTTCCTTTTTGGGCACTCTTCTAATCAGACTGAGAGGCAAAACTTCAGCAGCGAAAGGTTCAGAATCAGGAGTAAAAGGGAGAATTGACACCTATCCAGCAGTACCGCCGAATAAAAGCAAGTCCTCTGGGGATTAAGGCAAAAACGACCGCAGGCAGCAAGACACGTGAGGTCAAGTGCGAGGGAGAAAAGCCGTACGGATCCACCAACACGGCCGCTTCGCTACGGACCGGATCGGACCGGGGCGGCTGGGCGGGGAAGGGCCGGCCCCGCGCGGTACC